CGGGTTGCCGCTCAGGTCGAGCCCCACCAGGGCCTCCGGCCAGCGCCGCCGCGCCGCCAGCGCCAGCGCCAGCACGCGCTGCGCCGCCGCCTCGCCCTGCGACCGGTCCACCGACAGCAGCACCTGCACCACACACACGCACGCGCGCACCTCAACGCGCGCAGCCAGCGCGGATTCACTGATCGTTTCGTGTTTCCGGGCTCGCCACCTGCTAAGGTCATTGGTCCCGTAAGTGTAGCACATATGATTTTTTATTCCCGAAAGGTTGCGGTGATCTCACCTGCTGGGTGGCGACCTACACGTAGGTTAGAGGGTGTTCCCCATCCAGGTATCTCCCACCAGCGGGGCACCGCCCAAGCTGGGACAAGTTCTAAGCTCCTGACTGGTCTTCCGTCATGTGTTGTAGTATAGTGCATACAAGTGTTGGTGTAATTAAGGGGTGAGAATAGGAGGAAAAAGGAAGGAAAGATGGCGAGTGGTCCGTGGCCCGTTTGTTCTGCTCCGGCATTCGCCTGGTCCTGATCGGAGATACTACCAATAACCACCGATCAGAGCCGCCGCCCACCCGCTAGAATTCTCCTCTACACCGGCTATCTAGCTAGTGCCTAAAATCAGGATTCGAATCCTAGAACCTACCCTGAGCGACCTAAGGAGGTAGGAGTCAACGGGGAGGACGTCTCGCGTGCTCAGGCGCCCCGATGAATGAAGACTCGAAGGAAAGGAAAATATTGAAAGAGAAAATAGCGATGGGTGGGAAGGAAGACAAGAGAAAAAACAAATAAAAAGTTTTCCCGGCGAAAATTCACCGTTTTACACATTTTTACACCGTTACATAACTTTCCCTACTTACAGAAATATTTCACAAGGCGAGAAAACACAAAGGAAGCACCCGAACAAGCTAATTAGATAGCTTAATATCTCGCACACACTAAAGAAATATCTAACAAGCTAGTTAATTGTCTAACTGGCTGTTTAACTGAGTCGTTACCAACCTAAATAAATAACTCTCTAACTAGCAAACTAATTAACTAATAACTAGCAAGTTAAATAACTTTTTTAACTATAATTAATAACTTGCAAACTATGTAGCTAACTAACAAACACTATTTTCAAACTGCAACGAAGGTAAACGGCATGGAGTTCGCTCCACTGGCAAATAAAACACTTCATTGCCATGCATTTCGCAAATATTGAATTCAACAATCGCAGTCCTCCGAGCAAAGGACGCCTTATTACCCTTTCCATGTAATGAAAGATTAACGCGCAAGGAGACTAATGTATTTGTTTGCAAATTCAAATAGAAAATTAAAATGTACAATTTTTATTAGATACAATACATTAGAGAAAAATTCTGACCCCAGGCAAGGGTGCAGGCCAGTGGCGTAACTAGTCCTTTCGGGGGCCCGGTTCAAAACCTGAATTACCCCGCCCCCTCAAAAAAATATTGTCCAATTAGAAAGAGCTTGCTGAAAAATAACTGAAAGAAACTTAATTAATCATAAAGAATCACAAAATTCACAATCGAGCCCTAAGGACTTCTGCTTTGACGAATTTATCTATAACGTCGCCTAGGTTCACTTTTACCGAGTTCATCAGTTACTTTCGATGACAAGGAACGCGGGCCTCACCTATCCCATCGCATTTCGAAGATAATTTTTAATAACTTTCAATTTAGAAAAAGACCACTCTGCAGTCGCAAGAAACAGCAAGATTACTGGGCAGACGTCTGAAAGCTAGACGTCTATAAGGTACAGAAGTAATTTTATTTTTGCTCGACATCTATCAACATGAATTTGCATATTTTGCACAAAAACATGAACAGTTTACATCTATTCAAATCTTATTTTCTACATTATTGCGAGAGTCTGAGGTTATTGGATCAGAGATTACCTCGGTACGGAAAATTGATAATCCATATTTGATAAGGATGAAGTTACATTATTTGGCACAGAATTCTGTACACTATCAACATGCATTACATAAACAATATACTAATACAAATTACATTGTTATAGTTCTCTCTTTATGTACGCGGTAAACGTGATTATTCCATTTACGATATTTGTACTCGTGTATTATTTAGGTAGTGTATGTTTGTAGTATATAGAATTCTGTACCGAATATTTATACTTCATCCTTATCAAATAAACTATAGATTATCAATTTTCATACCAGAGGTAATCTCGGACCCAATAACCTCAGATACTCTTAAGAATGTACAAAATAAGATTTGATTAGATGTAAAATGTTGATATTTTTGTGCAAAATATGCAAATAATGTTGAAAAATGTTGAACAAATATAAAATTACCTCCGTGTATTGAACATGTAACATCATTTTTATAAGAGAGATGTGTACAAAAAAGGGTCTTGTAAATAAAAATGAAAACTTTCAAGCCTATAATGTTAAAAGGGTTAATTTTACAACTGTACGTAATTGTATAGGGCCGACATGTTCCTAATTGCCCAGTCCAATTAGACAAAAAACCAGTGATAGGAGGAAACAATTCCGTATTAAACATGGCATTCCTATAGTTTATAGGAACTTTTTTGTAGGAAAGTTTGTCTTCTTTAATTTTGTATAGAGCGTAATTTTAAGTAGGATTGATAGTTATGAAGATGCATGCAAAGAACGAAGAAAAAATACCTTTAACCGGCCCCACCTCCTGCTCACTTCAGGATTTTTAGTATGTGCGGTAAGTACCAACAAATAATCATGCCAAGTTTAAAAATTCCGATACTTTTTTCCTTTTATCACAGGTTTTTGATCTAATCGGACTGGGCTGTCAGCCCTATACAATTACGTACAGTGTCACAGAAGCGACCATGGCCAAACATAGGTACCGCAGATTCTATGTTGAATTTCACGAAGTATGGCAGCTCCAATTTTTCTGAAAACATTTTTGACTTCTGGAAAATTGAGAGTAAAAGTCACTTACAACACATACAATAAATAAAGTATTATTGTTTTAAGTAAAGTATATTCGAGTTGAAACTGGCCAGAAAAGAAAATGACTATTCTTTGTCACCACTAATCCCGAACATGAAAATGAAGCATTCTTCGCGAAAATTTATAATTTTTTAAACCTATTTTGAGTTGAATCGTAAAGTTGAAATTAATACTGCAGTTTGGGAACATAGCGATCTTTTAGTGTGCAAATTTAACATTTTTTGGTACACCCAACAGATATCTCATATTTGAAAATTTGGAAAAAATTCAACTTTCCAATTTTTAGAAGGGTGTAATTTTAAAGTGGTGCCCTACTTATCATTCATACTTAACATATAGTAACTGCAGTGGTAAGTGTAAAAGCACAGAAAAAATAGGAATCTTCTCCATCTTTAAAAAATACTCTCTGAAAATGGACATTTGTTCATTCACGTTCTATAGTTTTGGTTGCAAATGTTTCCCGAATTAAAGACATTAAGCGTGTAAATATCACTTTGATTTGTAAATCAATGCATTTTAGCTCAAAAAGCTACAACAACATAACGTTGAATAATTTACAAAATCGTAAATGTCTTCAAACGCGAAATATTCCGCCTAACTTAAAACAAAAATGGCACCCATTTGTAAATCACGTACAATAAAAATGATTTAAACAACCGAACATACGGAAATTTCTGATTTTTTTTCTGAGATGGTCGAATGACCTCTTAGAATGGATTGATCCGAACATAAGGTAATCCACCAACGTGTACCCTAACTTTCTGAAAGCCCCAAAATGTTCCTATCAGCCGTATAGCAAAATTAGACTGCGAGTAATCAGACGAGTTTGAATACATGAGCAGACTTAGCAAACTCAGCATACACACGCTCAGGAGCAGGGTGAAGAGTGGTGAGTCGGAACAGAGCGTAGGCGGGATGGACAGGGGCGGAGCGTGCGGACGAGAACGGTGGAAGTTTAAATAAAATTACTTCCATTTTGCACTAGATAGAATTCATTCATTTTCCTATCGAATAAATTGGTTGAGTTAAATAAATACCCGGGTAACGTCAAGTTACTTCAGCAAATAAATAAATAAATAATTAAAAACCAACAACCTAAATAAAAGTAGAGATCCAGGAACAAGATAAATACAAGATCTGTCCCAAAAGTAATGCGTAGCAATTTTTTTTGACGTGACTATAAGTCGCAAAGTTGTCAGACGGGTTTGGATAAGGTAAGGGGACGTTTAGCTTTCCAACGGTTGCTGGCTCAGGTGTCTTCGGCTCTGGGGAGGTTAGAACGTATCAGTTTTGTCAGCTCCTGTGTAGTAGTCGCGTCGTACTTGCGATATAGAAATCATTGGATGAAAGATACGAGATCAAGTTTTGCGTGAAGCTAAACAAGATGCAAGATGTTTCGTCCTAAGTTTTTGGACACTGTTTTCACCGGGGATGAGACGTGGATCGAGTACGACCCGGAAGCAAAGGGGCAGAGAGCGGAGAGGCACACCTTGACGTCTCCGCGCCCAAAGGCAAATCGCGCGTGAAAGCCATGCTCATTGCTTTTTTGATTCAAAGGGGATAGTGCACAGAGTTCGTACCTACTGGACACACTGTGAATGCGCAGTTCTACCATCAAGGGCTCCAGAGACTGAACGACAGGGTCACCCGCGTCCGAAAGATCAGCGTTTCGTGGCAACATCACCGCGACAGAGCGTCGGCTCACACCGCCTTCGTTTCCGCGGACTTCATAATCCGCATCGGTGTGGCCACGCTTCCACAACCGCCATATAGCCCCAACCTTGCTCCAGCGGACTTCTTTTTGTTCCCTCGGCCGAAAAAAGCCATGAAAGGAACACATTTCTGGACTTTGGACAATATCGAAGCAAGTACGACGAAGACTGTAAAGAGCTTCTTCGCCAAAGACCTCCTGGGAGCGTACGAGGCACGGAAATCGCGCTGGCAAAAATGTATTGACGCACCCGAGTCATATTTCAAGAATTTTAAGTTGCTGTACCTATCTGTTTAACAAATTAGGTTTTAAAACATGCAATGCATTACTATTGGGACATACCTTGTATACAGAAAGGATTGGGAAGACGTCTGACCTTCACACCGATGCCCTGCGCAGCGCCCTCCCGCGTCGCCTCTTCCAGCACTGCCTCGACGTACTGCTCGTGGCTCATGATGGTTTCCACAGCGCGGGGCGTGGTGCGTAGCTCCAGGTGCACGACGCCATCCTCAGCGAACTCCCTTACGACGTCTCGCGTCGCCACTCGCAACGCCTCGGGACTCGAAGTGAGAGAGTGCGCCAAACCGAAAATTTTGAAACACTCTTCCAGATTTGTCATTTTGGTGATATCTGGTATATCTATATCATCCGCGCTCTTTCCCTCTTTCATAATGTGCAGCCTTTTTAACGTGTCGCTACTGAGAGATCCATTCAAATGAGCATGAAGTTCGATTTTGGGTAACTGGGCGCAAAATTCTGCCGTTGTCCACATTTCTTTTAGTTCTACTTGTTTACAATAGTTTGCCGTAAATACAGTGAACAAAGAATTATCTGTAGATGAGAATGGAAATTGCGGAATTTTCGTATACAATCGTCCTAGGCGTGTACAAATACTGGATGGCTTGCTCACAAGCGGTCCGTATTTATGTGAAAGATAGTTGTGTAAATACATACAGAGCGTCACATGAGTGAACAGACGCCCGTAAAATTAAGCTAGATTCGCGATAGAGCTACCTGCAGGCTACCTGATTCTGGTAAAGATAATCTCCAATACAACAAAATAAGGCACAGTGTAATTTTGGTTTTCTCCTACCGGTCCACGCTTAGCAGACGTCATTTGTTAAGATACAGTCGTTCCCACTAGCGGCACGTTGCGTTAGAACTACCAACTTGCAATGACAACCTTGCCAGCAGGATTTCAATTTGTTATTTAATATGGCACGTAAAGTAATTAAGTAAAGATATACTTATCGTACTACAGCAGTATGGACAATGAAGCATTACATCCATATGAAGAATGTAAAAGTAGGAGTTCTGTGATTTTTGGTGAGCTCTTCCCTGTATTCCTCTTGACATGTCTTTGTTTACACTGGCTAAGATCAGTTATCTGAATTTCTGATTTGATGCTTTTGTTTGCAGGGTATGTGTCAACATCAGAGTGAAATGTATCAGCAAGTTCATTCATTTTACAAAGCAGAAATTTTCAGATGAAAATACTTCATACAGTGTAGATGTTAGTACTTGAATTAATAACAATTTTTCTGGAAGTAACACATATGTAAAACTTAAAGTGAATAAGTATACCTCATTTCTCAGCCACTCCAACAATTTCTTCTGGTAATTATTTCATCTGTTGTTAGTTGTCAATTAGTTTTTCATAAATATTCTTTGGTGATCATATTATTGGTTTCAGATTCATCAGTATATTTTCAGCATCATGCCCTCACACTCACATTATGACAGTTTGCCCCAAAATGTGTCTAGAATTGATGAACAACAAATTCGAGAGGCAGCTGAGAGTTTTTTGGGCAGTTCATCGAGTCTTCATCCTGTATTATCACATGGCAAGTTACTTTTATTTAAAAGATGAACTATTAACATTGTTTTACTATTTTATTTCTGCTTGAATGACTTTTTATTTCACAAATGAAAATCAAAGGACTGACATTTTAAAGCAAAATGGTGTTAGAAATTAAGTTTCATGGTGGTATGAAAGGTTCTATCATGGTGCACAAAAAAAGTGGCTCTTCATTTTTGTGTTAAGTGGATCAGTATGTTTAGAAATGTGTGTAGTTATCCTTGTAAAAATTACATGAAGACAGTTCACGAGCGTAGGTGTGTGCAAAGAGGAGGGCAGGGTGCTGTGGCCCTCTTGAGAATTTTGAAAGAGGCCCCATAATTGCTTAATATAACTTTTTACTTCCTTAATTTTGCTTTTAACATGTTCAATATTTGATTTTGCTATTTTTTTCCTTACAATTTGGGAAAGAGGCTTTCCAAACCATTTGGCAACCATATAAATGGTTCAGGAGTAATATTATTAATAACTTTGGATATCAGTGCTCATAATTTATTAAATTAATATTCTTCCTTGTGTTTCTTACAGAGACCAGTATTAACACAATCTTGTCAGAGGTGAATCCTGGGGACGTTGTGACTGGCGTGCGCCCTAGTGGTCGCATGTCAGTTGTCCGAAGATTTTTTTGCCTTTTTGTTACATTTGATCTTCTATTTACAGTTCTCATGTGGCTTATTTGCATCATGGTATGCATTTACATGTTTTTTCTATTTATAAAATTTTTATTGCTTGTGGTGTTCGGCATACAAGGGTATTTTGGTGGAATTTATTAAAATAATAAAAGTAAATACATTATTTTCATATTTTATTTGAATAAAATTGAGAGAAAGAATTTTCTATTCATTTTTTCTGTATTAAAAGAATTTTTTAATCTTTTGAGGCCTATTTTTTAAATCTACATTATTCAAATACTCGAATTACTAATATATAAATAATGATACTACTAATGATTTTAAAACCATTAATCAATTTTAAAGAGAAAGAAAATGTAAGTGTTCTTGAGTAAATTTGATTATTTAGTTCCTTCAATTTTGGGTGGCATGAAAAATATTGTAAATACAAAAACATTTGTGACAAGGAATGTTTTTGTTTCAAATTGATATGTTCGCAAGAACAGTTTTTATTTGTGAGCTTAGAGGTACTTCAGTTTATAATAAATGAACAAAAAGTCAATGTATAATGTTAATATTAGTTGAGATTGTTTTAAAGATACTTTATCTCACATGATTTTTTCAGCTCATTAATGAAGATGTGTTTAAAATGATGTCAGAACAGGTAGTTCATTACAACATTCATACCTCTCTTTTTGATATAGTGGTGAGTGTAATTTTTGTACCTTTTCTTCTCTTTGTGCCTTATAACTAAAATTAATCTACAGGAAGTAAAATTTTGTACTTAATTTCTGTTACCTTGAATGTTTGTATACTTAAAGATGTACAAAGTTTAATTATTTTAATATTACTGGAACCCATGTAAAATACAAATAGAAGGAAAGCCGTCCATGTGATACCTGCAAAAACCTCTCTTCAATGAGCTAGCAAAACTATCATTGCCTTGCCTTTTCATATATGAATTATTGTTTTTCATCAAAAGTAACTTACCCAAGGCAAGGCCGTTATCATTCAGTTCAGAAATTTATAACTACAAAATGTGTAATAATAATCATATTTTCATCAGGTATCAATATCAATAGTTCTCTACAAAAAATTGCCCTATAATGCATGCATGTTATTTTATAACACATTGCCAGATGACATTAAACAATTAAAAATGTTCAGTCAAATCTTTTCAGCTGCATAACTCTCTAAAGTATGAGATACTTTACACAATATCAAAAATGAAAATAATCTTTAATAATTATAGTAATGCATTTGCTACCATGTATATTATATGATTATAAAAGACAAAATATATCTTTATCAAGAATGGTAATTGAGATTTTGGGGTCAATGACTTCCATGTCAATCAGGTTTATGCCAGTATACCTTTAACCATTAAATGATTGCTGAAATGATCACTTGCCTTGCTTCTTGGCAGTAAATTTAGCTTTACTGTCTCCACATGCTTTGTTCGTACATCTCTTTTTATTATGTGATAGGAGTGGGTTAGAGGCAGAGAGAGGAGAATGCTAATTTGTTAAGCTTTCTACAAATTCAAATTGATTACTGCAAGTTTTTTTCAGTAGAAATTTATTTGTGAAATGAAATGTATTATGGGAGTTGAAATTTTTCATTATCAAACGTTGTCATCAATAATCATTGATGCCTTTATTTGTAATTCAGCTAGGTGTAGTTAAAGACAGAATAGGGATCCTGGAGCTCAAAAATAACGAGTTCAAGTTGTACTTTTTCCTCTTATGTCACATACATTTTTGATGATGATGGTAAATAAGTATATAGTATTGGTGGTATTAGTAGTTAACAGTAGGAGAGGAAATCTCCTCCAGGTATGTTGCATTACAGGACTTAATATATTTATTTTATCGAGTTTATATATTTGAGAAATCCAAGTTAGTGATTCATAATTCAACTAGGTGCAGTAAAAGTGGAGAAGCAGCTCATGAAAATGCATATGAAGTGCATATTGTATTTCTCTCCCTTAGCTCACATATAGATTGTACATTTTTTTATAATAAGTAAATAAATGAATAAATCAACAGTATTAATTTTGGAAGCAGATGGTGAATGAAGAAACATTCTTCCATTTGAAAGCATTGTCTCATAGAAGCTGATATATTTAATTTATATACTTAAGAATTCAATGTTTATTTTTCATCTATCTGCCTAATTTGCTTTTGATTCACACAAAGGAACTTATTGTTTTAAAAACTACAACCATTTTTCTTTTCCTTAAATAATGTATTTTCTAATATTTGTTCATTTTTTGAATGGTAGTATTTTCATTGAGACTCCCCTTTGTTTAAGTTTCATATTTTTTTTACTTCATTTGGTTCCTTGTTTCAATTGAAATGAACATGTTCATATTTTACTTTCAGATGGCTGCAACAGTTCGTTTTGTGATTCTTCTCTTGTTTTATGCCCTTCTCTACATCAACCATTGGTGCATCATAGCTGTGAGTGTTTACTCTTTTTTTTTTTAATTCATGAAATGTGTAAGAAGTGTTTTGTATGGACACATGAAATTGAATGCAATTATTTAATGATTTGCAGCCGATTCAAACAGCTGTGGTCACTATGGCATAGTGCAGTAGCGAGCGTGTTATGTGGAACCCAGGCTCGATTTCTGTTAGGGCGTGGGTGTTCTGTTAGTAGATTTTCCTACCTACCCAACCTTTCCAACAATATCAGAGTTAAAATTCCTTCTCCATCTGGGTGGCTCAGGAGCATGTGTGTGACGCTTGTTCATGTTACACTCAGATAATTCTGCTGCTCCTTGAGTTGTGGCATTGTGAGAGATACAACCACCACACATCCTCTTAGAAGCCTGGGCCCTTCCCTTCCAGACAGATACCCCCTACCCAATATGAGTTAGCTTAGCTGAAGTGGGCCTTGGCGAGGGGTACCTTGGCTTCCCAAAAGATAGAGATGGGTCTATGGGGTAGGTCCAAGTTGACATTGAATAGAATGGATATTGTAAAGAAAGGGGGCGAGTCATTATCCTGGGCAACTGAATTCTTGGGATACGTAAATTAGGATGTGGTACTATAGAGCCAGGTATGCTGAAGTGCCCTGATACAAATATGTGCACAAACATACATAGTAGGTGATTTGTGTTATATGATTCAAGAGCACCTGCATTGGTTTATTAAATTTTCTTGTGTTATTTTCTGCTTGGTATGTCCACACATTTTAATTTTTTCTTTGATATTTTAGTTGTCTACTGCTGGGACTTGCTCATTCCTTATTGCCAAGGTGTTCTTATATGATGTAAGTAAATTCTTCTTACTATAGTTCAATTTCATTTTATATAAAATGTCATAATTGATAATTAAGCTCTTGATATTTTTATTGTTTTGATGGTTTTTTGGATTATACTGTTGCATCATTTGCAGTAATTTATATTAATGTCAGTCTAGTAGAATTTTTTAAATCAGGGTCTCAGTAACAGTCAGGCTTTGTTAAATCTGTGCTACCTATCGATTACTCATTAAAATGTTCTTGTCAACATAAGTAGATTTGTATTGTAATGTACATAAATATTTTTGCTCTTCATATTGATAGTTACACAAGTGGTTTTTAATGCATAAAATTATCTATTCTGTCATAAATGTAATATGATTTTAGTGAATTACCTACTTTACAAAAATCTTTGGTATATTGTTGAGGCTTGTTTTTTCTTACCTGTCAGTAGAAGCTATTCTTAAAGAAGTGGTGCTGCAACAACACTTACTTTTTCACATTATTTGTAACAATTCTGCAATATTACCAACATGGGCAGATGCTTAAAAATCTATACTCAGAGCTGCGTTTAAAGTAAATCAGCTGTTGGTGGTTTCATCCAATCAGGAGCTTGAATGTCACCATAGTGATATCACTATAGTGACATATAAGTCCCCGATTGGATGAAACTCTCAACAGCTGATACCTGACAGACACACGTCGAAATAAATCGTACTATAATTGTCTTGCCCGTTATTTCCTACACAATTTTCGAAAAACCAGAGAGCTCAACGAAATTGAAGCCTCCACTACTTATTTAAGTGTCCCTTCTTTTATCCATAGGAAAAATTTGAAGAAAAAATTTGGAGCAGTTTTTGAGAAAATTAGTTCAAAAACTATGTGTGTTTTCGAAACAACATGACATTTCTTAAAGAGTTGATGATGTAGAACTGATTTTGTTTAAAGCAAAAATGTCTAGCTTTGATTTTGTAGTGAAATGTGTACTTTTTGCAATTTTAAAACTACAATGTTTGCCGGAAATTAGACTTCCACCACTTTTTTTTACTGTCCTTTGACACATTCAAAGCGAAAATTAAAAGGAAAAATTTGAAGCGATTTTTGAGAAAACGATTTTTTATAAATTGCATACATTTAAAGTACAATTTACTTCACACAATGTTTCTTCTTGTCTGGTATTTATGCTATTTAATATTTCAGTGCTTTTGTAAATATGAAATATAATAAACCTTATCTAATCTATATTATAATTATACTGAATGATAATAATTATAGTATATTTATGCTGGAGTACAATTGTATTACAGCTGAATGATAACTTTTGATATACATTTTGATTTATGGAATGTAAACCTAATGTGGGTGCTGATATATTGTTCTAGTGGGTAAGTGCCAATTCACCAGTTCTCCAGGTGCTTCTGATTATTACATCATTTGTTATTGCGTGGGGAGAAGCATGGTTTCTAGACTTTAGAGTTATTCCACAAGAAGTACTTGCCCAGAACATATTGCGAGGTATGTACTATCATCTTTGTAATAATTGTCACCATCACTACAACGGCCACAATTAAAACCACTGCTAACCAACTGCTACTGCCAACTATCACTACAAACTTTACCCAGTCAAACACCACTTCAGACACACATTTTAGAAATAGTGATCTTAAGAGCTAAGAACTAATTGTAATGCTGTGATTCAATGCTTTTTCCAATTCAGGTCAAACTGGAATCCCAAATGAACGTTCTCCGCTTCTCCAGCCTTATTTACAGAGGCTATCTGCTCAGAATGATGATCAAACGGAATCTGTTCGGAACTTTTATTCGCCAATGGATTCTCCTGCTGGTAAGTGAAACATTTTCCTTCATAATGAAAAAAAGAATTGTGAAACTAAGTATTACACTGAAACCTTTACTTTTTTAAAGTGGTCACCTCCATTAATGACAATTTTTTTGTAGAAACAATTAAATTGCCTGTGCCAGTAGCCAAACTTCTTAACCAAGTTCTGTGGAGTTACGGAAGTTAAGTAGCTTGAGTCATTGTGAATTCCTTGATGGGTTCCAGGTCTTGAACCCCAGATATTAATGGTGCTGAGTCCCTGACCGATAGGGATAAAAGGCAATGACTGACTTGCCTTGTCTGAACTTAAGATTGACTTAGTTTGTTCCAGGAGAATTACCCTTTGACACTAAGAAAGACTTGGGGTGCTGTTATGCAAGTAACAGAATTTAAAACAATCATAAGATGTGTATTCCCTCTTTTAAGCAGTTGCCCCACTCCATTGTCAGTGGCCATATACATTTTCCTCTGAGACCACTGACCACTGTACTTACCTGTGGCATCTCATGCATACCTGTATGAGATGCCACTATTTACTGACAATTTTGAGCTGAACTCTAAAGAAATAGGTGGTGGAAATTACAGTTGATTCCATACTTTCCAGCATTGTTACAAATTGACAAATTACTTAGAAGAATGTAAGGACTGGCAAAGGTGACTCAGGACATCTGATGTCACTGCAGTGACTGACTGGTCCTAGGATTCAAGTCCCGATTGTGGCTGGATTTTCAACACTAGCTAGATAGCTAGGTCGAATTCAGATACTGTCTGGAGACAAATTCTAGTGGCTGGCTGCACTGACCTGTAGCTTTGTGTGGTTTCTCCAATCAACACCAAGCGAATCTGGAGGACTACTGTAACAAACAGGCCACGGACCATACACAGTCTTTCTTTTCTCTTCCTTGTCGTATTGTCATCCCTTACTTACACACACTTACACTGACATACACTACACTACCACAGTTGTCGGGGGGCCAGTCAGAAGCTTAGAGCATGTTCCGGCTGTGGCGATGCCCCAATGGTGGGGGATATCTGGTCAGGGAAAAAAAATCCCCACAAGTTGGCGTGAGCTGGAACTGAATCTCACCAGCCAGAAAGATCAATGCCACCTTCCATGATAAGAACATCCAATATACTTGCATAACTAATGACCTTAACTGTTGACATACTTGGAATCAATCAGTCGATGTTTTCAACACTATTAATTCTATATAGTATCGTAGGCTTTCACGCTCGGAGTCAATAGAAGGTAAATTTTCCGGGCTGGTAGGCCGTGGTCCAGTTTCCATTGAAGGGCCAAACGTTTCATTCACATCTGAGGTGGGCATCCTCATTGTGGCACGATCGCGGGCGCAATGTTTGGGGCAGCGGCTGGCTGACGGCTGAAACGTTTGGCCCTTCAATGCCAATTGGACCATGGCCTACCAGCCCAGAAAATTTATCTACTATTAATTCTCTTTTTCAGAGCTTGGTTAAATACACATGTTTCAGGGCCATAAGTTACTGTGCTCTCTACCAAAGATCCAGACAGCTGGATTTTTGTTTTAATATTCTTTTTCTAAAGTAGTGGGTTTAACTTATTGATTATCTGTTGACGTCTTCTCATTTTTGACAAAATATCTACTTGATCTGAACCTTCTTCACTTAAAATAAGCTAAACTGATGTGTGAAAGAAAAAAAGCGCAAAATTGGATAATTGAATAATTATTATAATTAAATTTTCAATGGAATGACTGACATCATAGCTAATACTTGGACTTCATTGCAAATAGCAAAATTAGTATTTCATATTTTCAGAATATATATTAAGCTATCACTTGTACTAATGATAATTTGTCCGTAGAACTGATAGCATAAGATCACATAATAAGGCATTCTTTCATTGTATTTTATTTATTAGTATTCATGAATCTACTCGGCATCATTAAAATCTGAACTCATGGAAATTTGGGTGTTGAAGTATAAATCCTCCTTTTTGAAATTGACTGTGTTGCCTTGCTTCTATGTTTAATTTTGGTTGTAATGTCCTTCCTTGTTAAAATAGGATTATGTTCTTTGCATTATGACTATCTTAAGTATGTATTAAGGATACAAACTTTATATTATATACTGCATTTTATATAAGAAAATAGTAATTATTTTAAAGTATTCATTATTATTATATTATTGAATGGACTGAAGATATTGCAGCACATTCCTTATTTTACAGGTTCTGATGATGAACAGCCACAAATGACACCTCGGGCTAGTAGACGTCAACGGGTATGTTTATCAGCAGTACTTTTAAAATATAAAATTATATTTATCTACTTTGCCTTGAGAGATGTGGTTCTAAACTAAATAGCGATGGAGAAATAACATAATTCACCTCCTGAAATAATTGTTGTTCTTCTCCCGAGAATTGTACATGTTAGAAACACGAGGAATAATTTCCAGGATACATTCTCCTTCATACTTGTTGTTATCTGATCTTTGAAAAGCAGCTACATTTCTTTTACTCTACTGTCACATGATGATCTTTTAGAGGCAATTTATTTTATTTTGTCATTTGTATAAAATGAACAGAAAGTATTATAGATCTTTGAACATTCATTTTTTGTAATAACCCCACTAAAATTTCAAAATAAAATGTGTTTCTCTGCAGAAGCACATTCTTATTTTGTTTACATTATGATTAATTAAATATTAATGTAGAGGATAATTCCATTATCCTCTACATTAAATGTACAGCTTGTCCTCCCCTCTTAAAATGTTACTACTCTAAATGTATGTAAATTCAGTGGTTAGGCGGAAGAGCAGACCCTATGGCCTGAGCTCGCCATTAATAAAGACATTATTATTATTATTATTATTATTTATTATTATTATTATTATTATTATATTATTATTATTATTATTATTTTATATTTAATATTATATTATTATAGTATTATTATATTATTTATTTATATATAATATTTATATTAATATTATGATTATTATTATTATTATTATTAGTGGACCTGACTGAAATAAATTGGTTGCTCGTCAATTTCAGAGAAAGTCATTCTTTGTAATAAAAAAAAAAAAATTAAAACTTGTACATGATTAAAAATGGCAATCATTTTTATATTAAATCATGTGCCATTTTTGCATTTGCAGTCATTTATAGTTTTGTAACTTATGAGGTGCTAGATTGTTGTCAACTCTGGTCACCAAATTAAAGTGTTATTCTCCTACCTAAAATGTTTTTATTTAGGTGATATTTACAACCAAAACTATTCAATATTATGTATTCAGCAACTTTTGTGTTTATTTACAATGAAATATTTTTTAAAAGCAAGGTATATTTGAGTTTAAAATGGTTGCAAACTAATATAAATACTACTGATCATCACTTCTTCCTAATGTGGAAACAAAATATTTTTTGTGTAAATTTGCAATAATTTTAAACCTACTTGAAGTGAATATCAAAGTTGGAAATAATACTCCATTTTGGTATCATAGCAATATTTTACTTACGCAAATTTAAGATTTTTGTGTGGCTTCCTAATGAAGATATTACTGCAGAAAATTTGGAAAATATACCAAAATTTCAGTTGTTAGAAGGCTGTAATTCTTACATGCTGCACTGCTTATCATTAATATTTAACATTAACTACTGTGTTACGTGTAAATATACATAAAAAATTACTGCTGACTCTAGTCCTTCTTTGAAACATTACTCTCCGAAAATCAAAATTTATAGTTTATATAAATATTATTTTAAATTAATAATATAATTAAATATAATTAATAATATAATAATATTGATAGTTTTGGTTGCTATAATTACACAAATAAAAACATTGGTTGGGAAATAACACTTTCACTTGCAGGTCAATGTGTACTGCATCCAATGCATTTCAGTTGAAACTACTACAACAACTCAGCGTAACTGTAGAGTAATTTACAGAACTGTCTTGAGTGGTGAAGTGAAATGTATGTGCATAGATTTAACACAATATTTAATTAAAAGCCTCTGGACAGAACGAAAAGTTGAGTGACAGAACGGTTACCACTGAAAACTATTATGCAGGTGTCCCACCAATTACGAGCCCCAAGTGAAATCCTTGGATAACAGGAATGGACAAAAGGATATGAAAAATAATTAATTTAAATTCAATTATAATTTACTATTGAAATTCCCAATATTAATTAGATTTTTCCTCTATTCTACAATTTGTATTCTCAATGTATTGATATATTTTCTTTCAAGCAATTTAAACTGTAAAGCTCAATTAGGTTTTCTCTTTTAAAAATAAGATTTAGTACTAAATGTAATCTAAAAGAAAAATTGAAAAAATGGTGAACCATAATTTTGTATAAACTTTTATTATGATAATTTTATATTACCACAAGATGGGAAAGATTTATTCAATGTTAGTGTTACAACGTTCTCTACATTCAATCAAATGGTTTATTTGACATTATTGTCGGGAAGAATGTGTATACAGATAGGCATAAGGTAATGATATCGTTGTTTCGAATGCTTTGGTTCACCAAGAGAGGTGGATCAAGGCATCAACTGATATCACTGCAGTGACTCTGACCGAGAGGTCCTAGGTTCGAGACCCGATGGTGTTAGGATTTTCATCACTAGCTTGATAAATAGGTTGGATTCAGTCGCTGTCTGGAGGAGAATTCTAGTGGTTGGCTGCTGTGATCAATAGTTTTCTGTGGCTTTTCCAATCAATACCAGGTGAATGCTGGAACAGCACTTTAACAAACAGGCCTTGGATGCAAGTGATCGTCCTTCCTTTTCATGGTCTTATCTTCACCACTTACTTACACACACTTACTCGTACATGTTCTACACTTCTGCCATGCCCAGAGACAGGTCAGGAGCATAAAGCTCGTTCCAGCTGAGGCAGTTTGTTGCTAGTGGTAGATACTTGTTTGGGGAAGTACACTATAAGCCAATGGTAGGTAGGTTCTGGATCTCTCCTTATAGCGGGGAAGATCACCAGCTCCTCCTGTGATAAAACATGCTCTACACTTATGGAACTAATAACCTTAGCAGTTGGCAAGCCTGGAATTTCTTAGGAATCAATCAAATGCATTCATAATGGAATATATTGAATGGTCTTTAGTTCTGGATGTTCAATTTATAAGTGAAATAATTGTTGCTTGCCTTTATGAAGTGCTGGAAATAATGTGAGCTGCTACCAATAATGCCAGAAAATATGTATGGTTGTAGACCTACTAGTTTTCTCTTAGTCCCTCAACTCCTATGGAATTTCTCATTCTCTTTTCTCATATTGTCATCTCCTTTCCTATTCCCTTTCTTCTCACACACATATATGTGCATGCTTTCTTACATGTGTGTACACACATGTTATTTTTCATACTTTGTGCACCTTCCTATACATACAATAAATCAACATGAAATTTTTGATGCAATATTCTAGTACATTCCTTTTCATATTGATTACTTATACAGTCATCATTGTAGAATCAGTGAAGATATGTGTGATGTTTGACAAATATCATTTCCTGTGGTTTGTGGTTGGGATGTATGAACTGATAGAGATATTTGTATTTTAAAGGGGGAAAAAATTGAATTTATTAAAAACTAAATTTGAATGTTTTGTTTACAGTGTTCAACTATTAAATCAGTAGCCAATGAAGCATTGCAGGCAGCACGTCTTACCCTTTTTTCTTCTGATTGGCGTCTAGAGAAGGAAGCTCAATGTGGGGATGTTGTAGAGAGTAAGCGGAAGCCTTCAGGTGGCAGACTGTATCGATTAGAGGTGAGAATTTTGTTTGGTAGTCTTTGTATTCTTGGGATATAATCACTGATCATATGATCATAAACTGTACATATTCAATATGAATTTCATTATTAGTTTACTGTTCATGATGTTTACTCTGTAATACAATTAGTTTTCCTTCCCAATATTATTGTGTGTGTTTTCATTTGGGGAAAAGAGAGGGTATTTTAATGATTGACAGATGAGAAATGCAATGCTCTTTTTTTATTGGACTCAGGGTCAAGTGGATACAACTCCTCAACGGTTATTGCACCTTTTGTTCAATGAGTTGGATAGCAGTCCTGTTTGGAATACACAACTCGCCCTAGCACAGCGCCTTGAGGTAAAATTGATGCTACTACACGTTTCATGTTAGTAATACTTGTTTAATTTTTAATAATAATTTTTTTTTCTGTATAATTCTGTATGTGTGTTTTTTATGGAATCTCTTCCAATTTAATAATTTTAATATAAATATTGAAATAAACTTTTTTTCTTATTCTCATGTAAAATAGTTTTCTTTATGTTAATATTTTAATGCTTTTGGGCAAGACTTTTTTAAAAAGCATAGTGTTTCCATAGTATTTCTGGTTGACTTTTTCCCAATAATTTAAGTGGCATTCATTGTTTTATTTTGCTAATTTTTCTGTGTGAAAACTGTGTTAAACTATATATGTTTTAATAAGTATTAAACTAATTCATTGAAATGAATAATTTCTTTATGAACTGCATGTTTTATTGTTATCCAGGCTTAGTCTGTTTGTTTGAAAACGGACGTGGCACTTTAATATGCCCAAAATAAATAATTGTAAATACTATGTACTTACAATGTTCACTCAGTAATTAAGTGTAGAAATTCAACATATATTTGGAGATATCTTGTTTTTGTTGTATTAACACATACAGGTCATAATGTTCCCCTCTTCTCCATATTTCTTTCATCATGGATTTGTGAATACATTTGTTGGTGCATTTCTCCTAAACCCAAAACACTTGGGCAGGATTATATGTAATTGTAAAGGAACATCTTCTTTCAGACAGTGTATCAATATTTATGTTTATATTGTTAGTTCAGAAGATATATGAATATGTGTTGAAAAATTTACTCCCCCAAAAAAGTTTAATATATTTATACCAATTAAATTCTCACAAATTTTGTTTATGTTACAATATAAAATATTAGACTTCTTTATTATCTAATGCAATTATAAAGAAAACATTAGTTTTTATTCATAGTAGTTTCCTTTTCTATGATAATTTTGGAAACTCTCTGACATGTCATATGCTTTGTGCTTGCTCATCCGTGTATTCTAAAGCAATTTGGTGCCACTTAAACAGCAACAAACAAAAAAGAGTGGAATTTTCATTTACTATATATACTTATTAGGATCCTTCATGATTTTTAGTGAATGGAGAAATGCTGTGACTATAGTAAAACTGCAGGACAAACTGCATGCCCTTGGATTTACTCGTTATTATGACTTCTCTGAGCCCATAGAATGTAAAAGCAATGGCCTGAATGTGTTAAACGTGCTAACAATCATAATTGCCGTACCATTCAAGTAAATATAATAAAACTACATTTTTGTTCCTTCCTTCAGTGTTTGAACACTTTAATAATAAGTAAATGTCGTGTTTACAAGGTAATAGATGAACACACAGATATTAGCTACCAAGTGATGGCAGAAGGAGGAGGTGGTTTGGTTGCTCCTAGAGACTTTGTAACTTTACGTCATTGGGAGAAGAGACTCAATACCATTACTCTTCTCACTGTGAGCACAACCCATGCAGCTGCCCCTCCTAAGTCAAAGCCTATACGTGGAACTCAGGTAAGACTCTCTCTTCTCTTCTATGTGATTTGGAATGTGGATCGCCATTTTACTTGGCTCAAGAATAAAAAGAACATAAAAAGCAAATAAACTACATTTTTGTAGTTAATTGTTTTGGTATGCTTTTTTCCAGTTTTAAAAATATCTTATTGTGATATGAAATTAATAGATTATCATTTGATTTGCTAGCTATCTTGTTCTTTCTTGTGATTGTTAATATCTCAAGTGCATCAAAAGTTTTTTTTAAAATAATTTTGTGAGTTGTAAATGAAATTGTTCATTTTGTTTGTCTGCCATAGTTTGTTGGGATCATTTTTTTAATTGTTAAAAGATCAACTTTTGGAGTTTGCAAATGTTTCGTAAGGTTCATCAGATTCATACTGATTTATTCGCTCAAAAATGGATACATTTATTCCAATCAAATACAAGTAGTTTTAAATTATGCTTTGTTTGATCTATGTTCAGCACCTGAAGTTTACCATAAAGTAATAGAGGCCAGCAAAAAACAATAATTTTTCTTTGGTGTTGTAGGAGAGCATATAAATATAAAGCCTAATAATTGGATTTTTGATTCTGCTTTTGGGCCCTTTAAAATCACTCAGTGGTTCCCATATATTGTTATGATGCATGGATATTACTGAGAACCAGGTGGCTTCTCCAAAGATTGAACCTGGATCTTGGTTAACAAAATTGACCTTATTTGTATGATCAAGTTTGCAATTTTGTGTGTGTAAAGAAGCGTATATCATATTGAGTATTTCGGATACCTACATATAATAAATAACACTAATTGCCAGTTCACATAATAAAGAATGAAAAAATAGGAAATTGTTATGTTATTTTTCAATTTGTCTTTGAAATTGTCTTTTCTCAAATTGAAATTTTTGAGAAATGAATGGAAGGTTTATTTTAAGTGAAAGAGCTCTGAATTAATTATTATCTTTGTGAGATATGGGGTGTCTGAGACGGAAAGTACCATTCTCATGGGCTTCACTGTTGTCATGTGATGCCCCTCAGGGCCCATCGTGCTGGGTTCTGGAACCAGGCCTGACTCCAGGATCCACTCGCTTACGATGGCTGTGTGATACAGAGCTGGGTGGCTGGGTGCCTCAGGCAATCTTGGATCAAGCCTTCGCTTCATCGCTGCTGGAGTGGATGACTTGTCTGCGCAAACATATAGCTGCCCTAGATTCACTTCCTGTTCCCTGACATCTTGTCTGGTGATCTTTATCTTCAGAAAACTCAGCAATATGTGGAATTTTGTTTGGAAAGCTTTGTAATTATTAAGAAGATTTTCATAAAACAATCACAACCAATAGACCGCGTTTTTTGGTGTTGTTTTTGAAATGTGCTGTGTCATAATTTCTATACAAGAGTTTTATCAAATATGTTCCTTAAAACTCTAGTGTTAAAGCATGAGGTGAAAGTTCTGCAATCAATATGTTATCTGTATTGAAGCATACATACCATGAATTGGAATGAGAAATGTTATGACTGGAGTATCATTGTGTTTTTACCAATATAATACTAGGTAGACATAGTGATCTGAAAGAGCCCACAAAACCCGTTTGGCATATTCAAAATATTTTACGGAAAGGGAAATATTTGCACCTTAGCTATATGTTGGTTGTGATAGCAAGCACAGACCCTCTATAGGACAAGTTATGTTAAAGCAAAAATTTTCATTGTCTCCTTTATAAGCTGAAGCTGATAATGCAAGAAAATATTGTGCAGTTGCAATTCATTTTTTGTATTTCTGTTTGATCTGTTTCAAATCTGGCTGTAAAGAAATAGGGACTTAAGAGTCTCTAGAAATATTCAATGGGTTTGAATGATGATATTATTGCATTATTGCAAAAATATCTCTTGTGGCTAAGGAGGTATGAAATGTGATGTTTGTATTGAAAGAAAAATGTTCATGGGCTTTGGAAACTCAGGCTTTGCACCTCTGGTTAATTTGTGTGAAATATCAGAAGTGGATAAATTTGAAAAAACTTTTCTATTTTATTCCTTTAAAATGCTTGAGGAGTATTTAGACTGTTGATTGTTTCACTAAGGGGACATCAAAAACTGATGTACAAGAACAATACCATTCAGGGCAATGAGTTTCTTCATAATTGTTTAGCATTACTTTCGTATATTTTATGGATTATAGGTGCGATTGCATTTGATAAAATTATTTAATTTTTTGTGTAGAATATACTATTTAGAAAGTTATTTAACATTAAATGTAATTTATATCTTGAAAAATATGTTTATGTACTCTTTTAATTTTTGATATTTTTGTGCTTAAGAAAACGTGGGAAATGACTTTCAAATTATGTTCAATAAACTTAGCTGAGGGGTATCATACTTCACCATCTACTCCATGTATCTCTCCATTTTAAGAAAAATAGTTCTACCAGTTTTTATATTAAGAAAGAAAGTATTGTATTGAATTGTTTATGAAAGGGCTTTTTTAAAACATACATTTTTCTTGTCATAACAGTACCAAAGACAATTACAGATTTTATTGTAGTTTTTTTTCCAATTGTATTGTGCAAGTCATTCACTTTAAATCAGTAAGATTGTGTTTTTTGGTGCTTTAGTTTTATTTTACAGAATGATCAGATAATTTAATGGACAAATGTATGCTGACAAAAAATATTCACTATATAAGTAGTATTTCAAGTAGTGAAAAATATGTTTGTGTGAATGATTAAAAATGTTTGTTATCTATTTTTATTGTAAATATGACTTTGAAAACACTAGGATATTGTTAAATCATTGACTTTAGAAATTTAGTTAGATTGCTGGAAGGATAATATCTGAAATTTTCTTCTGTTTGGTAGTTCAAGAGTTCTTCAAAATTCCTTATGGTGAACTACAATAATATTCCTCTTCTACACTTTTATGGAAAAATAGTATGAGTCATGGGAAATTCATTTTATATAGTAAAACTCAGAAAATTATTCATTAGCTTTGTTAATAATACTAACCTTTATGAGGAATTGCGGGCTTCTTTGGTCTTACACTTTGAAATACACTGAGACTACTACTCATATTTTCTTTAATTATTTCTAGAATACAAAATTGATTTCTATTATTTTGAAACCATATTATCAAGTAAACTCTAAACATTTCTTAAACCATACACAGAAAACTCACATTTCTGTTTCATACATATGTCATGATTTGCAAAACCACCGTACATAAGAACAAAAGTTATTATTATATACCTTACATAGCACAGCCAAAGTAAACATGTTTGTGAAAGAAATGAAAATAATGGTGTTTAATGATCGGTGATTGCCTGACTAAGATTATCGTTTGATAAGAAGCAAAAAATCTGGCTGCTGTCAATTGGAATAATTCTTAAGACTTTTCCTAATCACAAACAGTCAAGTACTTTGAGCACTAGGTGGGAAGGAACAATTATATAAGATCCACAACCCAAACATATTCTTCTTTGTATTTGTGCATTCAAGAAAAAAGTATGAACTGAAGGAAATTTTAATGGTGTGAAAGCAAGGGTATTTTAAGATTGCGAAGGTAATGGGATTGAAGGAACTAGAAAGCAATTTTTAAGAACATTGAGAAAATGTCAGTTCTGGAAAAATAAAAGCAGGATTTTTATTGTATTTGATTTAACATTCCAAGTTACATGGCTATGTGCTTAACACTTTTCTGAAGTAGATTAATGTGTTTGCTTATTTTATTAAGAAAAGAGAAAGAAGTGAAAATTTGAGGATGTGCGGAAGAAAATTTTTGAATGCATTTCTGCAAAAGCCTGTGACTCAGTGCTGGTCATTGAGGCACTGGGGGAAAGGATGGGAAGTGCACTGGGGGCTTGCAGCCATTCAAAACATTCCAATATTGAAAATTTGTATTTGAACACCAATTTTTATATTTTTTTATCCTCTCATATAGGAATTTGAGTAATGTGTTATGCCAATGATTTTGCAATATCCTTTTGTCATAATTATTATGCATAGAAGAATATGTGTTTTTATTTTGTTTATTTAATGTTCTGCTCATTGTATTTTTAACATAAAAAACAATTTGAAAATGAATTATTTCTTGCATTGGTATACATAAATTGCATTTATTATTCAACGTAATCTTTAGGAATTTGAGAATAGACTGAAAGTTTAAATTATTACTATATTTCTCCTCCATTTTATCAAGTTTTGAGGATGCATATTGAAAAGTATTTCATTTATGCAGATTCATTATTTAATTTTTTCTTTTAATGAGTTATATTTTTTTTCTGTATAACAAAACATAGTTCATTTCAGGTGTTTTTCTTTGCAATGTATTAAATATTTGTTTTGATGAGTTTGGTCTCATTTTAATATGATTTTTTGAGTTAAATAAGTGTTATTAATATTGATTTTTTAATTGTGTACATTGCATTTCATAAAGGAATAAATTCTTGTACAGAATGATTCAGAACTTGTATTCCACACATTATCATTATTACCATTGTGCATCACATTTTTAAATATTGTAAGTCATAATCCTATAACTGCTAGTAAAGTTTGGATTCTTTATTTTTCTGAGTAACAGAAATTTTTGGGTATAGTAAAAAGAAAAAGAAATTCCCAAATTTGTAAACACTGTAATGAGAATGAGGATTTTAGGTCTTCAATTCTTAATTGGGAATAATTCTGCCTGGATCATGAAATATCTTTCTTATACTACATTTTTTGCAAATGATATAAAAAAAAACAACATACTATATTGAGAAATGATGGGAGGGGTCATAACCTTGGTTTGTCTAAAACTTTGCTTTTGGTTGTGAGTTGCAAACACACTGGAGTGCACCATGTACCTATCAGAAGATTTTTTACACTAATATCATTGAAAATGTACAGTAGTTTAATTGTTAAAGGAAGTACCAAATACTGAAGGATTCATATTACTTTATTTGACTGTTTTTCAAATATAATTTATTTACATTGTCATTTTCTAATTTTCATACCAATTTATAAGTTTTTGTCTGTTGCTTAAGAATAGAAGCTAATTAAAATTGCTCGTAAACAAATAAAGTGAGGAAATTGATTGCTTTCTCATGGATTTGACATTGTTTAGTGTAGAGAACTTAAGAATCTGCCTGTTGTACATACAATCTAAGGTAGCTATTAGAATTGAAGGGGAATGTGGAGAGTTTTGTTATATAGTCTGTGGAAGAGAATAACTAGATCTATTTGACCTATTCATTCATTTGTAAACATGAATGTAGTTTTTTTCCACAGAGAAGTATTATAAGAGCGAAGTACAATAAAGCTGGCAAAAGGCAATCTGTAAAGCTGTGAAATATGTTGAGAATTTAGAACAATCCTCTGGATTTAACTCTTTTCTCTCAATATCAGTGATTTTTAAGTTGAGATTTATGACTGAAAAATAAATGACAATGAAAACAAAATTAATTTTAATTCTACTCTAAGGAAAATTTTCAGATAAGTGATTGCAATTTGTCTCCAGCTTGATTTGTTTCTGTTTTATAATTCACAATTTGCATGTTATGTTACATAAGATTTTTTATTACTCTTTGTTGTTGAAAATATTAGACTCGTAGTTCAGTGAAGTATGGGAGTTGACAATCTGCTGTTCTTAAACACAAATATGAGATTTTTAATGTAAATTTGTGCACTGTTTGAGCATGTTATGGGAGTTTTGCATGTTTCCAATAGATTTCATGTCTTAGTTATTTCATATCATCTCTTTGTAGAAAATATTTTATTTGTCAGTGATTTTATAATTTTTGATAATTGCAGATATTTTTTATTAATCTTTTTCCAGCATATATTATGGTAAGTTTTGTTGCACATTAAATAATTGGGTATAAAGCTTTGCTGGATTTCATTTATTAATTTTAATAAATAAGCAAGTGCACTACTACATAATTTTTGTTTAGTCAGTGGTATATTGTTATATTTCTGGAAACTATTTTCAATGTTAGTATAACTTCAATGAGTTATGAATACATGAAACAAGGAAATTGTAATGGAAGCAGAACTATTTGCAATGTCTTCTGAGGGTGCTTGAAATGATCTTTTTAATTGAAATGTTGAGCAGAAGAGGCACCTAAGGCATAGGAGCCATTAAGGTTTCTTCTGTCATAATATAGTCAGATAATGTACTACATTTTTTGTACTAATACAGATGCTTTTTAGTCCTATTTCAAAAAAATATGAATTATTTCATAAGCATGTTCAATATCTATTGGTTTATTTTTCTTTCCTTATTTTTTTCTCTCTGTATACTAAAGCATGCCACTGCTTAAGTAATGTATTGTCTAGTTTGATCAAAGGAATTGTGAATGTGTAAGTGCCTTTCTGTGTCTCCATATTAGCTTCAATGTGTGCTTGCTTAGTCCTGAATTTATTTAGCAGGATCAAAGTTCAAGTTTGCAGTGTATGAATAATGTTGCAGAGATATTATGTGGTGCTATTAAAGTCCTGTGAATAAGCATTTCCATCATGTCACAGCAAATAAACTTTCTTGTTCTGAAAACGTATGGAAAGACAGTTGGCTTTCAGGCAAAAAATTGATTTTTCAACTTATGTCTTCTATAAATATCAACAATAAATGACATATTTGGACAGTATTTTCATAGTTAGTTTTTGTGTTATTTTTTTGTTGTATAAAGTGAATGAGACTCTGTGGTGAAAAGAGAAAGAGGTCTTGCTATCAGATTATCTTTTGAAAATATCAAATTTTGAAATTGTTCAAGATGGATTGGTTTGTTAGGTTGTGAATGTTTCTCTTAGATTTTGTATGGATTTCAAGTGGCTCTTTATATTTTGTTGTATGATGATAAATTGTGATTCTAATATTGCTAATGTCGAAATAATTTTAATGTATCTGTGATGACACTTGTCAACTTGCGGTTGATTATGAAATGTGTGACATGCCAGTCATATCATAAAAATAATGTATGTAATTACAGGAATTTCATTTTATTATGAAATTTATTTAGGAGCATTTACAAATAGCCCATTACGCATTTTGGATGTAATGCCTTTTATGTGATATAAACTTTTCTGAATAAAGTTTTATACAAATTGATTCTTTGGTTAAGAATGAAAAGAACCAGAAAACTAGTAGAACTGTCTTATAAGCAATTAGATCATCATTCCGTGACCTTTCTTGTTCCTTATTCTTTTTCTTCCAACACTTTTCTTAATTTTCAGGCGTAGAATATTCTATTCTAATCTTCCCAAAGCTTCTGTATGCATCTGTGGGCACAAACACTTCTTAATGTGCATTTATAGTGTGTGCTTTGTAAATGAAGTATATCTCAAATGCAAGTGCTTCTTTGGAGGGAGGGGGGAGGGAATCTATCTGAAATGGCTTAAGCTTTTAAGAAAATTAAAATAAGAAGTATGTATGCCCATTAAGGCTATTGTGAATTGGAGTTTTGTTTTAGCTTGCTGGAAAGTAAGAGGAGAATGAGAACTCAATTTCGATTTTGACCATATATTTGAACATTTATTTATATACATTGAGTGGTTAACCTTGCACCTTGTGTATTCTGTGTGCACTTCCTCTTTGGCTTGCCAACTCACAGTCACTGTTCAAGCGTCTTTGCGATATGGATATGAGTTGTGGTTACAAGGTTTTGGAAACAGTTGTGGGTTTTTATTACAAAATAATGTATTACCGGTAATATTTTAGATTGCACATTCTCATCACTGGTTTGTGACTAACATCTATTTAAATATATTTTCTCAATATCACTCTTAAACAATCACAGACTTTAATACAAAATAATTGTGTGCTGTATGATTAATACAGAACTTCCCTATTATTGTACAACTCCGCCTGTTGAATTAATTTAAAAAGTTTTAAACACCATGTTTGATTTTTCGCTTTGACGAGTGGCACGCTACGCCACGCGTCCGTCGCTTTCGGTATTTGTTGTCTTCGTTTCGTGTTGCCGTTCGCAGTTCCAGGTCGCCCTGAGGCACGGCGAAAGGGCTAGCGAGACGCCCTCTCCGGAGCCTTGGCGGGCGGGGCCGGCCCCGCGCGCGGGGTTTCGCCGGGGCGGAGGGGGCGACGAGGAGACGGGGTGGGGGCGGAGCCGCGGTCGCGGCGGGCGCCGTCGCGTCGTCACGTCTGCACGTTCTCCAGGATCCAGGGCACGAACTTGGAGATGCGCGTGCACACGCCGGGCAGGTTGGCTTCCGCGCAGCCGATGCCCCAGCTGATGATGCCGGCCAGGAAGTAGCGCCCGTCGCGGCCGCGGACCTGCAGCGGCCCGCCCGAGTCGCCCTGCAGAAGCAGAACGCGGCGTGAGGCAGGGGCGGAAGACAGGACATGTTCTCCCGGCGCCGGATTGGGAGGGGGCGTTAAATTGAATCTCGTAAGCAGGCATTTTCTCTCTCCAGAGTGTTTGCTCCGGGTGAAAAGAAACCTAGTTACGTCCCTGATGTGAGGACTGTCCTCCTCAGCCACTTCCTGCCGGGGAATACCTCCACGGAAATGACGGATTGGGACCTGCAGAGAGTAGCGCATCGTCTTTGTTCTCCCCTGGGCAGAATGATTTCTTAAGGGGCACTAGGCGTTGCCAAAGGACCCCCTATTGATATTGAAATATCGGTATGTGTACAACTGAATGAGAAAAAAATCTATAACCTTTTCAATTTGGGAAATAATCTTTCTTTAAACATATTTAAGAGCTTATATATACGTGTTTAGAGAGCTTGTTTTTTATTTCTTTGGACCTAATTGTTCGCCTCCGTAAAGTCCAGGAACTTCGGAAATTAGTAGAAATTTACGACAAATAATTTTACTTGCGCAGGGAAGCGGATGCTGATTGTTGCCGCAATCGGGTTTGCAGTAGGATTCTTTGCAATTCTCCCGACCCCCTTCTCTCACTCCACCATGTTCAAGGCTGTTGCTCCTCTCCTCGTTAGGTAGATAACGAGTCCAAACGAGACCAAAACAAGTCCTTTGGCATCCTAATATGAGCACTTTACTGGTATTGTGTACACACATATGTATATCGAGAATTGTGTCTTCGGAACTACGCTTATTGTGTCATCTCCCCCGAGAATTCATACCATACGATTAACAAAATTTACTCAGAATATGTGAAAAAGATTATAAGCCCGCTCACAGCAAACCGTGGAATGATCAGTGATTCACAGAGTAGAAAATACGATGGGAACATGTAACAAACTTGAGTTGTTTAGAAACCCACAAAGGCTGATTTACCGTTGTGTATTCGCGACGCCTTCGAAGTGATTTGATTAAGGTGGAAGAACGTCATTTAGTTTTTGGAATATGTTCTCCTTATTTTATTTTCAAATTCTGGCATTTTTCTTCCAAAAGCGTAGTCCAATCTCTTTGTGGATAATACCTAGGACCGTCAATCACAGTTCGCAAAATTGAAGCTCTGCTGCATATCGTGGACGTAATTTAAACAGTAAGCATGATGCTGCATAAAATTTGATTTTATAAGAAAACAAGTAAGTGATTGTGATTAACAGTAGACTTCTCACATATTTCAGATGCGCGATTACTGACTATCGTAGAAATCCGTCAGTGTTTCAAAACACCCATTTTAGTCAGATGGGAGTGAGTAGCATCGATATAAGGAGAAGGGTTCAACATTAAGCATCACAGTGTTGCTAACAAACATGACCCCTCCCCCCCGTGAGTGAAAGGGAATCCTGAAAGTGGCGTGAGAAGATTGTTGATTTCAGATTATATCCTGATTATAATATTGAAGTACAAATTTTGATTCGTTAATTTAAATGCGAATATTCATTGGGTCATAATTCTTCCAACCGTAGGACATGTTTCCTCTCCGACTTGTTTTCCGTTACGTGCATTTGTATTAAGGCGCTATTCGTGTGGAACAGACCAAAAGCCTTTTATCGGCTACGATGGCTCAATGACAACATCACCGTTTCTGCAGCATCGTTGGCCGGGAGGTCCTGGCAGAAGCGTGTGCAGCCTAAAACGTGCGATGGGCCAATTACATTTATGGGTTTCTCTGGACCCCCTTGTCCTTGAAATAAGTCATTAATAACTTTCATGATAGTAAAATTAATAAATACATTTTCATTTATGTTGAACCATTTACAGGGTTGCCAGATGGTTTCGGGAGCATCTTCACCAAAAGAGCTTAAAAAGGCGAAAGTCAGGAATGGATCACATTTACGAAAATAAAATGTTTTATTACGTAGGGCTACGGGACCTTTTTCGATGTGTTTAGGGAGGCTGCAGCCCCCTGTTCAATCGCCTAAGGACCCTAGGGTTCAGGTTTGTGGTGGATTTTCGATATTGACTGAATACCTAGACCGAAATTTTAAGCACTGGTGGGGAATCCTAGCGGCCTTTGCTCTTATCGAAAGGTGTCCATCGTTTGTACGATCAATTCCTTATGCCGACCCAGCAACATTACAAGCCGGCGAAACAAAAATTTACCGCGCCATATTTTTCTTTCCTCAACCTTGTTCCATCTTTTCCCTCTTACACACACACATTTATTCTTACATACACTACACTACCATATACATCGGGAGCTTAGAACGTTTTGCGGTTGGGGGAGATGCCAAGAAGTGAAAACCCTACAAGCCTGCGTCGAATCTCACTTTTCGACGGGGAGGAACACTGCCACCTATCGGCATATATCGTATATTATACCTACGGGACTAATGATTACAGCAATTGGCACGCCCGGACACAATCAATTACGCACTCCTTGTATCATATCGAGAAGCAGTAGCAGCGCGCGAGAACGCACCTGGCAGGAGTCCTGGCCGCCCGTCTCGTGGCCGGCGCACAGGAAGATGTCCGGGATGAACTCGTGGCGTCCGGCGCGCAGGAACATCGCCTTGCACTTGTCGTTGCTCACGATCGGCACCGCCACTTCCTGCGACACCAAGCACAAGCACGCCTTCAGCACTTTCACGAGAACGAGGGCAAGAGTCGGGAAGCAACGGGCAGCACTACTACTTGAGACTAACTTGCTGGGTGGATCAGGCGGCTATTTCCAGGATTATTTTCTTTTATTTCTGATATACATGTTAATAATAAAAATAAAATTTAAACATAATACCTGGATTGCCTCTCTTCACGCATGAAAAGTCATGTGAAATAGTGTGTGTGTGTGTATTATATATATATATATATATATATATATATATATATATAATATTTAATGATGTGTTTTCTTACAAATTTAGGTATAATTATTGGCTATATGATAAGATGAATCAAATTCAAACGATTCATGTTATGTGAGAAAGGCGATGTAGTAATTCCTATCGTTTCACCTTTATAGATGGTGAATACTAACGTTTTTTTTCTTGAATTCTTCCAGAATGTATTATAAAAATTGCACAAAATAGTACCAATTGATTCATCAGAGAAATCGAATGGTCGATTGATCACTTCTGGAGGTGCCTTAAGAAGCTCCAAAACGAATATGACATGCTCCCCCTTCAGAAACGCTTTTTTAGAATTATTTTAAAATGTTCTGGAAGGATCCTTCAAAATATGGTACGTTCCCACTAGTAGTCCGAATCGCGTCGAATGACACCTCTCTCTCCTCTTGTGGGGAACACGTGGAGGTCTAACTGCGAGTAACGGACGTACACGCGTAGATTAACCGTGTTCGTAACAGTGTTATACTTGTATGTTGAATTACTGGGAGGGAATGTTTGACTGAGTACACAGAACACACAGTTAACGTTACTCAAGAAATGCTGTTACTAGATCCTTAGTCAGAGTTTTCGCCATTTCTCTTCATTTCTAGGCGAATGCTGCGATGGCCCAGTGTTGCGCTTCTGGGCAATAAATATATTTTATATTTTCTCTCCACCTCCATTACCACGTCAGATTATTTGTTTGCGTTAAAGAATATTCCTGGTTTTGATGAATATTAAATAAATCTACTAGACAGCTAGCGCGATTGTAGCAAACGTGACAAGCAAAATGTATTAGATTGTGCGTCAACGAAATGTCAAACTCCTCAGCGTCAACGTCATATTAACGTCGTGATGGCGTAAGTTGGGATTTGAATTCCTGCGAGAGCGAATACAAATGAGTTATTCACGTTCGTTAATATTATCAAATTTGTAAGGAATGGTATTTGCTTTGATAGTGTTTTATTGGTGTCGTTCGTATATTGTATCATCTAGAATAGCACGTCGGCAAATCAATCTTTGATATTTCGAATTAATTGATATCTCAAATTTTCCAAATCCAACATAAGTATTAGATTGTTAATATCGTTGTTGACGGTACAGAATATCTTTTTAATGAATCAACAATTACATATCCGAAAGTAGAATGTAGTCCTGCATAGAAGAGTAGAATTGCCGCCGAGAATAACAACATTAAACGATCATTTAAGTTGCAAAAAAAGGAAACAAAAGTATCGTGCGTTATTTTTGGATCGTACATTTGATTGAGGGTGGGGGAGAATAAGAGCTCTACTGCTTTTGCACAGTCTGGCTGAAACTAGTCAGCGGAGAGGACTAACATGTAACGACTTGAACATTAACGATGCATGCGCTGATCGAGTGTTACCCAGCTTTTCTTTAGTTATGTGTTATTTTACCAAAAGATTATACGATATCGCTAAATTCTCTCAACGGCTAACTCCATGACTAGAGATAGCAAGAATCTTTAGTTGCAATATAGAACAACTCTCATTAACGTGACGTTTATCGTTCAAGTTGCAGGACACGATAAATCAGGTGGAATGTCGTACTCCGATATTTCTATAATGTAACGTCCACGCATGCATACTGTCTTACACCCGCACTGCACTTCTGCATCGGGGAAACATTACTATTGTACTGATGGACAGCTTCCCTATGTTTTCGTGGCGATTGCAAATGCTCAGTCAGTAAGGTACTACGTTGTGGTGACGTCAAACACATGTCAGCTGGCGTTGCTAATTGTGTGTAAACATCTGCATGAGCTTAGAGAATTCTCGGGATTTAGATGGAAAGTGATTGTAAGAGTTTTAGAGATATTTGTGGAGTCTTTCTCTTTAATGCAAAAAGTTTCCTATTTAAATTATCTACTATAATAACTAAGGAAACTTCCAAACCATTAAATCCAAGTTAAAGAGTGTCCTAACGTCACTTTCACTTGTCCTTTTTTATTATGAGCTGAACATTTTATGCTGATGTTACAGTATGTTAGAGAAGTCCTGCAAATATATTTATAATAACGAAGGCGCGTTAAGGATTGTGTCATTTTTAATATGAATGCGCTGACATCGAACGGCTGCGAGCTGTCAGCCTCAAAATACTGTGATATCTTCAGAAATTCAATGACGCCTTAAGTGTCAGTCCGCAGCTCGTCTCCCAAACACAAGGAGCTGGTCTGCGCAGGCGCGAAATGTGGCAAGAGAGGAAGCGTTCGCAGTCTTGTGGTATGACTTGTTTACTGCTGCCACGTCTTCTCCTCCCCACAGCAATCGTCTGGAATGGTGGGACGGTTTGTCACGGGAGTTGAAGGCTCCGAAATCTTCGTTAATGCTGCGAAACCGCTTCGGTTGCTGAGAATTGCCATTTACCCTTTGAGCTCTGTCAGATGGCAGTTGCGAGGACAGAGGAACCGTCGCCGACGACTCCCTTCACTCCGTTAATCATTGCCATTTTCAAAGTTGTTGTGACGTCACTATGGTGACGTTGAAGCTCCCGATTGGCTGATTTATGTCAAGCGCCACTACAAATAAATCCAAGTATACAATGTCACACTGCACTAAGTCCTTGATTTGGCCTCCTCATGATTTTTTTGACAGATACTAAATCAACTGAACATCGCCGAAGGTCGCATCGTTCTGCGAGCTATATTCTTCCGCCAGCTAGTTGAGCCAAGCGCCAGCTGTTAATGCCTCAATGTGTCAGTTCAGTGCGTGCATTTTGAGTTAGAGGTAGTTTTTCTCGAGTAATTTATATTGATCCGAAATCGTCACTAAAACTATTTTTTTGAAGAATTAATACAAATAATGCCGAAAAGCAGACGGCAATAATTATGGGTACAATTTAAGTCGTCAAACGGATATAAACGGTCAGGTCATAAACACCGAATTTCGAAAAGCACGCATTGTTTACTTTCATCGTGATGAATATGTAAAGTGCGTGAACACATTTAATTAAACTCTCTGTAGACTTAATTTTACTAAAAGAATGCATGTAAATAATATTTCTTAAAATGACAAGTTTTGAAGTGCTCTTTTCTTGTATTCTAGCGACAAAAATACTTTAATTTCCTCCATACATTCAATTGGCAAAATGACAAAAATTATGAAAGGTACAAGTGGTCCAGTACAAGATAGTCAACTTTTGTGAAGTGAATGCGAATTTGTGCTACAAGTTACTCACCGAACACGCCCCCCAATTTAATTTGGCATTAATGGTTGTCAAAAAGTCGTTCACTGGGCTGAACATACCATACATCTCAACATGCACACTTTACCGGGGAGCAGAAGCAGCTTTAACAGTAAGCGGACTAAGTGATCGGGGTGGTACAGGTATACTACCATCTGACCACAAGTTCCGCATCATTAATTTCTTTTTAAGATAACAATTTATTTGGCAACAATGCTCTCAAGCAACGAACACTTTCCAGGGCTCTAATCAAAATTTGAAATACAGATTTCTTGTGTGATAGTGATGTCGATAGATATCACGCATATATCGAGCCGCTAATGAAATGTCTTGAACATTTCCGAATATTGCAATTTTATTGAAGATTTTTCTAAATATTCTCTAACTAAATCTTTTCGGATCTTCGGAAAAAGATCATTTTCAGTTTTAAAGAGAGTAAAAAAATATTTGAAATGCGTAATTTCTGATTTCCGTAGAAATCTCACAGTTTCTGAAAGTCTATTACACGCATTAAATGTGAGTATTCATCCTTTCTTACAAGAGTCATCATTCACTCAACCATAAGACATGTTTCTCTCACCGACTTGTTTCCCGTTACGTGCAATCAAATCAATTCTAAATATCTAATGACGTATCTAATGCATCTGGAGAAAGATCATTTTCAGTTTTAAAGAGAGTAAAAATATTTAAGGAATACAGTGTGGAAAGAAAGACTAAATAACTTGGACCATTTTGTATATACTCGTACGAAAAGAAATTTTAACCTGCACTGCCAAATTGTAATGATAATTAATGATTTTGTAAGCAATTAATCAAGGAGAAAATTCTTGTAAAATGCTTTTAACAAATTTATTTAATGAATAAAATTGTTCACTACTTTTTTTTGGTAATAACTTTGTATGGGTTTTCATGGAACTTCTATTTGTAACGAGTTTGTGAACCCCATCATTTTTGCCGCTTCGGATCTTCTCTTGTTTTGAGCCGCCACTGCCGAGTCTCCCCTACGATGACAATGTTGAAATTTCTGGCTTCGGAACTAAGGCGATTGTGCCGTCTCATCGAAAACTTATGTGATTCTTACGTCCCACACCCCACAGCCACGCTATCCCAATTTAGTTTGGCGTGAATGGGCGTTAAAATAACCGATGAGACCTCGGCGAAACAGTATTATAGTGTCATTGTTCTCTTCCTATAACAAGCACCCTTTAAGTATGCAACACCATCAAGCGACCACTGCGAATATGTGTTTGCTCGGTCTGATACAATGCCGTTCTCACCCATAAATTCAAAATATTCCAAAATAAAATCCTCCTAAAATAGCCACAAAAGCACCTTGTTTGGTAAGAAGCAGCGCTTTAAACTCCAACTGAAAACATTCCCTCTAGAAAAAAACAACAAAAAACGCATACACTTCGTATCTCAAAACTTCTTTTTTAACATGCAAAAGGTTCCTGGTATCTTGCATGATCAAGTAGACTCAAATTCCCATTTCGAAGACTTAGAAAACGGTACCCTCTCTACTCCTTCCTCACACATCAAGTTCATATATTCTAAGCCACAAAATCATTTGGAAGTGCTCGATTGAGTTTCCCCCATCGATACCAAACTGAGCTATTGTCTTATGTGTTTGTCAGTG